AGGTAGATAGTTCAACCCTCTGGAATTTCTAAACAAGTCCAACTCGGTCAGGCTGGTGAGCCGGCCAAGTGATTCAGGGAGGTGATCAATCCACACAACAGCGAGTGTCAGCTTGGTCAGGGAAGTTAGGTCGTCGAATTTATCAGGAAGATGGCATAAATTTATCATGATTTCACTTCCTTTGCTTTCACTGCCTCGATTTTGCTCTTCTCGCAATAGAGATCGTTCGTCGAGTGAACCCACTTCCGAAAGAGGTACTGCCAGTTCTGTCGTTGAGTTGCGAGTGTTACCTCGACTACGATGCCGAGATCCTTTTGCGAAATCAAACTGATCCAAGTCCACCCAGCCTCGGGTCAATGTAACACAAGCAACAGAATCAATCCTTCGTCAACTTGAAATGCGAAATCTTGGATCCAATTCGTGACACCGCACCATCGAACAAAATCACTTGTGTTCATTTGTCTCGCTTCTTTTCCACTCCAACTGCGGCTGTGAATGACTTGAAAACAGGGTGATACTGATTGTTAGAGGGTTGGAGACTTGGCTGGAAAGGCTCAACAGAGCTGCTGGAATTTGGCTGGATGAGGGAAACAAAACCTCACTATGGTCAAGATTATGCAAGCCCACTAAAGCACAACTCTTTAAGCATCACAAAACAAAGGCAAATAGGTAGCTCAAAACTAGGCTACTAGACAAAGCAACTCCCTTGGGATCTTGGGCACAATTCTGCTTCCATTGACCTTGAGTGGCTTTGAGAGCCACATGAGGTGCATGAATAAGAAGGCTCTGGAATTATCTGATATAGCTGATTCTGGATTCGGATGAAAGTGATTCCGAACTGTAAAGGGACTTCGGCTGAAATTTGATTGGTTGCGGAAGTTTCTAAATATTTCGCGAAGCCTTGACTCCGTCGCTGACATTCCCCCTTGCTGCTCCTTGTGTGCAAAGGGCTGGGGCGGTAGAAACTCGCTTCTCCAACACTCCCCCTCGCACCAGACCCGAAGCACACATATACCCATGCTTATGCTCCTCTCACATCTCCTTATCATACACTCCATGCTGCTGCCCATGTCTCTTCTCCTTATACTCCTCATTCTCCTCAAACTGCTGCACTAATTCATGAAGTGTCATGAGGCCTGCTCTTGCCTTGCACATGAGGTGCATGAATAAGAAGGCTCTGGAATTATCTGATATAGCTGATTCTGGATTCGGATGAAAGTGATTCCGAACTGTAAAGGGACTTTGGCTGAAATCTGATTGGTTGCGGAAGTTTCTAAATATTTCGCGAAGCCTTGACTCCGTCGCTGACATTCCCCCTTGCTGCTCCTTGTGTGCAAAGGGCTGGGGCGGTAGAAACTCGCTTCTCCAACACTCCCCCTCGCACCAGACCCGAAGCACACATATACCCATGCTTATGCTCCTCTCACATCTCCTTATCATACACTCCATGCTGCTGCCCATGTCTCTTCTCCTTATACTCCTCATTCTCCTCAAACTGCTGCACTAATTCATGAAGTGTCATGAGGCCTGCTCTTGCCTTCCACATGTTGAATGCATCATGTGGAAGAACCTTGGTCATGAAATCTGCTGCTTGATCGAACGAACGACAAAAGTTGATGGCAAGAACTCCCTTTTCTAGCTGCTCACGGATAAAATGGTACTGCACCTCGATGTGTTTTGTACAGCCATGATGAACCGGGTTTTTGGAAAGAGCGACGGCTGAAGTGTTGTCCACGTAGAGCGGAGTTGGTTGAGTTTGCGGCTGCCTCAAGTCCTCCCAGAATCCACGTAACCAGATTGCATCCCTTGCTCCTTCGGTCATTGCCATGTACTCAGCTTCGGTTGTAGAAAGCGCCACACAACTTTGCTTGCGTGATTGCCAAGAAACAGCGGCACCGCACATGAGGAAGATGTAGCCGCCAGTGGACTTCCGTGTGCTCAATTCTCCCGCCCAAACTGCATCGGTAAAGCCTTGGAAGGAGCTTGCAGGTGGGATGGCTTGGAAGAGAAGACCAAGATTAAAAATACCTTTGAGATACCGAAGAGCTCGCTTGGCCGCATGCATATGGATGGGTGATGGGGCACTCATGTGTTGAGCTAGCTTGGATACCGTGAAGGCTAAGTCAGGCCTTGTGCATAGGGTTGCATACATGAGACACCCAACCTGACTTTAGTAGAGAGCTAGGTCTTGTGGGGATACCTTGGCTGAATTCTCACCATGATGCTCACTCTCCTCAAGACACAACTCCTCAATACCTGTGAGTAAGGCTTTTCAGCTGGCTCAGCTCGAGATGCTCCAGCGACGACAGGCGACCCATGTTCTGTGGAATTTCCATCAGCCGTGTGCAATTCTTAAGAACCAGCACGTGGAGGTTAGAAAGATTGCAGAACGAATCAGAGATCGTGAGGAGTCTATCGCAATTCCTGATACTTAACGTCCTGAGAGAAACGAGGCCTGACACCGTTGCTGGAAGGGATGCAATCCTGTCACAATACACGATCTCAAGAACTTGTAAAGAAGGAAGTTGGAAAAAGGAATCGGGGAGTTCCAAGAACATGTTTTCATGTAAATAAACCTCTCGGAGTTTCGGAAGCTGGCCGATGGTGTCGGGAAGAGCTTTTAAGTTGTCCATTTCAAGAATGCTGAGCTTGACCAATCACTTCAGCCCACCAAGAGAGGCAGGTAGGCGGTCGAGCGTTTCATTTCTGAACACCTTCAGTTCGGTCAGCCAGGAGACGTGACCGAGTGAATCCGGAAGGTCGTCGCTCCATACAGTAGTGAGTGTCAGCTTTGTCAGGGACTTCAGCTCCTCGAATCTATCGGGAAATTGATCGAAATTTACCATCTGATTGACTTCCGTCAAGTATGAAAGGTCGAAGAAAGACGGTGGCAAATCACAACTGTCTTTGTAGGCTGTCTTCATGGTAAGCGAGAGGTACTGCAACGCAGTGCAGCCTGTGAAAAGACTATCTGCACTTTCATACGTCAAGGCTTCTCGATATCCGTTGTCCAGATCAAGATAAGTTAACCTGGGACAGACCGATCCTAGGTCGCAGAGGAACTTGTCATTGTCCTAGTCGAGAACGCACTCGTTGATCGTGAGAGAAGTCAGGTGTCTGAACCGGGAAAGAGATTCCAAAAGAGCAGTATCTGCAGTAAGGAGAGGCCTGCTGTTGGCGATGGATGTCTGTGTACGGTACGCGAGGCGATTCCATCGTTTACAGACCAAAGCGTGATTGAAGCAGCTGGGTGACTGATTGTTCAAACAACGGAAAATGAGGCAGATGAGGTCGCGCGGTAACTGATTTAACGACGTTCGCAACTTGATTCTACGAGGACGTGGCACCAGGGTTCGGGACGATGTGTTTCTAACTTGAGACATTGTTCGCACCTTGCATAGAGCTACGGTAAGACTACAGAAATAGAGAAACTAGAGCAGATTGCACGTTGCTGCTAGCTATGATAAACTCGAGGGAAACTCGAGCCAAGTAAAATGGACTAGAACGTGGGGAAGGCTGGACGTGGAAGGAGCTTGCTTGCTCGTTGGTGACCGTTGGTGAAGATGACCGTTTGGCTCTCGCTAGTGGGTACCTTGCAGCTCGGAACAAGCCTGTGCAGTTGTGGATATCTCTTGTTGTGATGTGGCTGGTTGTGTTGGGGTGGGGTGAATTCTGCTTGGTTGGTTTTGTTGCGTTGGTTTCGCTGTGCTGAAGTTGCATTTCGCTGCCGTGGTTTCGCGAGCTTTCACTGTCTTGGTTTTGCTGCTTGCCGTGCCATATTTCCTTTATGCGAGTTGACGACGATGCCAATAGCTCGTCGCAAAAGCCAAATCAGTCCTGGAACAGTTACACGTAGCTGTTCGTCACGTCGAATTTTCGCTGCTCGCCATGAACTTCGTTGGTTCAATTGAAAATCTTGGACTTCACAGCCTCCTGTGAGGCTGTCACATTCCCAGCCACACTTTTCATTCCCTTACATTCGAGTAGCACCTTCGGCTACGATCACCACGCCTAACAATAAAATACCTGATGGCGCCAGATGCGCCTGCTCCAATCGATGTTATTATTAGTGCGTCTCCAGGCATAGGTGGGTCAGTGCAGTGTCGGAAATCGCCGTCCACCGATGCGGTTACCAATAGAGCACAGAAGGCCTTTTTCTTCGGCGCAGCTTGACACTAATCGTAGAGAATAACTCAAGCCACCTCAGAGGCTTCCGTGGTCTCACGAGAATTCGCCTTTCCGTCTGTCCCTCTCCAGTTTCTGGCGCCTCCGTGTGGCTTTTTGCTCGACGCCTCCTTTCCTCACTCATCCCTTCTTCCGCTCCCTCCTCTCCTCTTCCCTCCCCTCCGCCATGCAGACGACGCTTTGGCCATCCTCGCAGCTTTGAAATGCCCGTCCATTCGTGTGCTCGGTATTGCTACGTCATTCAGCCACTATGTGACGTGTGAAGTTGCCACACGTAATGCTCGAGGCCTGGTGGGCTCACTGTGCCTCCTTGTATATAATATTTCCTTGCTAACAGCTTTCAATGTGTTGATTCGAAGAACATCTGTTGTTGAATTCTTTTTTTGTCAGTTGTGTATACCTTGGACAGAGAAAATACCTTTTAACTCACCAGAAAGCATTTCAATTCTAGTTTGTTTCTCATCCTCTTCATCACCCCCCCCCTTCCCCAACCCGCCTCGCCCTGTTTTCCGTTCCCACTCCTCCAGTGCATAGCAGCAGGTCGCCCAGACACGCCCGTTTTTCAGGGCGCCACAGCGCCGCTCTCAACCGCACCAGCATCAGCAGTACGCCCTTCCTCCGTGGCTGCTCTGTTCTTGTGCCTTCCCTTTCCTTCCCCCACCTACCGAATCTCTGCTTTTTTCACGCGACATTCCTTCCCCCCCATCGCCTGTGCCATTGCTCTCATCCCTCCAAGGCACTCCCTGTATGCTTTCTCCCTCCTCCCTCCCGCCCGCCCTCTCGGGTGGTTTCCGGGTTAGCATTCCAAGCCTTTTCTAGGAAAATACCACCACCACCACCACCACCGCCACCACCACCACCACCACCACCACCACCACCACCACCGCTGCCACCACCACCACCACCACCACCACCACCACCACCACCACCACCACCACCACCACCACCACCACTGCCACCACCATTCGATCGCCCCTCGCAACCACGCTCCTTTCTTCCTCTCCCCTCGTCCCCTCTCTTCCACCTGCCCGGCCACCATCCATGCATCCCCTTTCTACCTCTCGTTTTCTCTTCTTCATCAGGCAAGCACCCCCGAGACCACCGCAACCAGCAGCGGCAGCAGCACCACCCCTACCCCTCCCTCCCTGCCCGCATGCTCCTCATTTCTTAGCCCTGACGGGCTGGCAGGAGTGCAGCTGCCAGCAGCATCTCCCGAAACCCAACGGGGTGACCCCGCAAATGACATAACTGATTCCTTAGCGTCCACTCAGATTGCGACTGCTGCTGCTGGGGGCGGAGATGGAGAGGGGAAGGACGGGGGAGAGCAGGGGGCGGAGCGGAGGGCGTGGGAGTGGATGTGTGAGGAGGTGGCGAGGAGGCCAGGGCAGATCAGCATCATTCAGTTGGGGCCCATGACCAACCTCGCCTGGGTGAGTGTGCTTTGCATGCGTGCCGTTGCACCGAGGTCACTGTTGAGTCGAGTTGAAGGGAGGCTGGTAAGAGAACAGACCAGGAAGAGCAGATTATTGAGGTACGGCTGGAACACCTAACCAACCTTGCCCACGCAGCAGTCCGTTACTCCTCCTGCCCACACATCCCATATCCTCCCTCCCCACGTCTCCCTCACCTCCCTCACCTCCCTCACCTCCCTCACCTCCCTTTCCTCCCTCGTCTCTCTCATCGCCCTCACCTCCGTCTCCTCCCTCCCCTCGCTACTCTGCTCGTCTCCCTTCCCGAATCCCACGCATCCCTGACACATTGCAGGCCCTATCCGAGCGTCCGCTCTAGCATCAGAGCTGGCGTGGGTGGTTCTTCGCCCACTTGCTCCACCCAGTGCCTACCCTCACCTCCCCCTCCCCCTTTTCCTCCACCATCCGCCCTTCCTCCTCCCTCGCTTCTTCCCGCCTTGCTCCCACCAGGCCCTCTCCCATCGCCCCTCACTAGCATCCGAGGTGGCGGGCATCTGGGTGGTGGGGGGTTCATTCTTTGCCAGTGGGGATGTTAACGCAGCTGCTGAAGAAAGCGTGAGTGCTGGGGGCGAAGTGTATTGGGGGGAGTGGGGGGTGGCAGGAGGGAGCTGCAGCGAAGGGGGAAAGAAAGGGAAGGGCGATGGGATAGCTCGATATTGTTGGGAGGGAGAGAAAGTGTGTGTAAGGTTGGGGGAGGAAGAGCGGACCGGTTGACCATTGAGGAAAAGCGTGAGGGATGACAATCTTGACTTACGCTGGCTCTTGCTTTTGCTCTTGCTCGTGCCCTTGCACTTCCTCTTCACCTTCCTCTATCTCCAGACTCCAACTATGCATAGTTTAGGCCTCCAACAGTGCTCATATCTAGTTTTGAGACATCTCAAAACTCTATCTCCAGACTCCAACTATGCATAGTTTAGGCCTCCAACAGTGCTCATATCTTCTCCCCCCAGAGCATTGCAGGTGCTTGCAGATTCCGAGCTTGTTCTAACCGTGTTTCGGGTTTAGGCCTCTCCCCTCGCCTCTCCCCGCTGCTACCCTTGCCGTTCCCCTCTTTGCAGATCCCGAGGCAGGGGACCAGATGCTGACATGACAGGGGGGCACCAACATCTGCTAGTGCTGACACTCCTCTCCTCCGCCCCTCTCCGCCCCTCTCCGTCCCTCTCTGCCCCTCTCTGTCCCCCTTTGCTCCCCTCTGCCCCCATCTGCCCCTCTACCCCCCCCTCTCCATGGCAGGTGTTTGCAGACCCTGAGGCAGCGGATCAGGTGCTGACGAGTGGCGCCAACATCCATGTGCTGGGACTCAACGTCACCACACAGGTCACACTGACAGGTCAGCTGTGCATGCTCTTAGACTAGTTACTTATCGGACCAGTGAGGGCCTATGGCGGTGTGTGTAAAGGGCCAGCATCCCAGGTGCTGACGAGTGGTGCCAGCATCTATGTGCTGGGACTCAACGTTACCACACAGGTCACACTCACAGGTGTGTTGGTGTGCTGGAGCTGTGCATGTTCCTAGACTAGCTACTTATCACACCAGTGAGGGCCGAGGGCGGTGTGTTAAGGGCCAGCATCCCAGGTGCTGACGAGTGGTGCCAGCATCACTCACAGGTGTGTTGCGAATCGTTCCTTAACAACGTTCATGTTACCACGCGCGTTGCACTCACTCACTGGTGTCATTTCTGATACGCATGCTACTAGAAGAGTCTCTTTATAGCACCAGTAGGGGGCCAGACCAGGCCAGTGTGGTACGGCCATCAGATCAGGGTGCTGCTGACTGACGTGTGGCGCCAAGCCAACATCAACGTGCTGAGGCTGAGGTTCAGGCTGAGGCTGAGGCTGAGGCTCATCTCATCGTTACGTTTGAGGCGCCTCAAAGCTGGGGCTCATCGTTACCACTCGTACCGCACTTGAAGTTGCGTAGAAAGGCGCCTCAATAACGTGCCTCACGTACGGGCAACCATCAGCATTCTTAATGCCCCTTCCCCATCTCCATGCCTCCCTCACACCCCTTCTGCCTGTCCCTTATGACCTCCTCTTCTGCTCCTTCATCCGAAACACACCTCCCTTCCTTCTCACCCCTTCTGCTTGCCCCTTTTGCTCTCTTCTTCTGCTCCTTCATCCGAACCGCCCCTCCCTCCCCTCTCACCCCTTCTGCCCGCCAGGCACACACCTTGCCTCCCTGTGCACGCAAGACACGGCAGCCCCTCCAGCAGCAGGCGAGAGCGAGCATGGCACTGCGTCCTCAGCAGCAGCGGCCTCTGTGGAGGCAGATAAGAGCGAGAGCGAGAGCCAGTACGGAGCCTCGTCCTCACCAGCAGCGTCTCTGGTGGCATGCCTGGTGAATGCATATCGGGCCCACCAGCAGCAGTCCGACCACATGGATGGTGTGTGGGTTGTGGTGGGTTGTGGTAGGCTGTGGTGGGTTGTGGTGGGTTGTCATGGGTTGTTCTGGGTTGTGATGGGTTGTGCTGGGTTGTGCTGGGTTATGGTGAATTGGGTGCACTTCACACACACTGCTTTAGCTTCACTCCGTTGCATCCCCTATTTCGTACATCTGGCCATTGCTTTGCCTTTTGTGTACTCATGAACCTTCTCCCCGCTTTCCGCCCTCCAGGAATCTTCCTGCACGACGCGTGTGCAGTGGCAGCAATCATAGCGCCCTCACTCTTCTCCTTCAAGCGTGGTAGTGTGCGTGTGGAGTGCACCGGGGTGGGGAGAGGATGCACTCTCATGGACTACTCGCTCAAGAAGTGAGTGACTTTATCTTTCAGGTGTACGTTCAGCAATGTACGAGTTGAGTGCATTCAGGTTGGCTGGTATGCATGAGTTTCATGTACTACTCCCTTAAGGTGTACGTTCAGTTTGGGTGTGTGTGGATGGCACTGGGTTGAGCAACGTGTGCATGCTGGTGGACTTGTCGTTAAGAAGAGGGCAGGGAGGGATGTAGCATCAGCGGTAATAGACACTGCTCAAGTGTCAAGGGATGTGACAGAGTGTGCACGCTGATGGGCCACTTGCTTAAGAAGCAAGTGAACTATGCTATTGCAGGGGGGGTGGGTTAATGAGCGAGTGTGTGTGTGGAGTGGAGAGCACTGGTTTGAGCAACGTATGCAGGGAGGGATGTAGCAGCGGTAGTAGACAGGTGGTAGAGGGTGCATGCTGATGGGCCACTTGCTTAAAAAGCAAGTGATTGTTGCTGGTACCAGCAATTTTGACAGGGTTGTTGCATCAGTAACAGACAGATGGCTAGCAGTGCATGATCATGGGCTAGTGAGGGAGCTATTGTACGATGGGTTGATTAATGTGGCAGTAATAGACAGGTTAATCAGGAGTGCAATCAGGGCCTCAGATTCGTTTTGGGTGACCCTGAGCACTCAGGGTCAGGGCCTCAGATTCCAGGAATATTACCCTGATTTCCTGATGTTTGACCCCGGTTTTTTATTGTAACCCTGATGAATCAGCCTTTTTGTTTTTACAACCCTGATGAATCAGTGTTTTTCTTTTCCTAATCCTGATTTTCCAGTGTTTCTAGTTTGTCGACACTGACGAGTCAGTGTTGTATCGGAGACGACCCTGAAACCGAAAACTCCGTGATTCTCGCAGTTTTGCGCGCCGTCATCATGCATGAACCCACCCTGCACCGACGCCACCCTGCGGCGCGCCCAGATACAGTTGAACGGGTTAATTTCGGGCTGTGTTGGCAAAACGCGTAAAGAGATTGGCTGTCCCAGCTGAAGCAATGTACCGTTGTCACGTTGGATAACATACACTTGTCATTACTTTCCATTGATGTGCACAAACAACCAAGCCTAGTGGCCCAGTGGGCCAGTGGTCTGCCTTGTTCTTTCCACCAAGGCAGGGCGTGCTGGGGCGGCCCGCTCAGGCACCCCACGCAGGGGGTCTCGTGATTCTGCCATTCCAGCTCTCCAGACTCCATCCCTTTCCGAAACATCAATCTCTGCAGTCTCCCTGAAGCCAGCTCTCCAGACTCCATCACCTCCCGAAACATCAATCTCTGCAATCTCTCTCCCAGGGTTTCTCGTTACTACTCACCGATTCAGGAAGGTGACGTGAACGCGCCATGGCGATCACCGGTGAGAACAGCTGCGGTGATGATGACGACGATGCACTTTACGCCGCCACCGAGATGCTGGAGGCCAGAACGGGACTAGATTTTCTAGTTTCCGCGCTCTCCCATGAAAAAGAGAAGCCAGGTCCCGTCGCCTCAGTAGCAAACACTGGTGAAGCGTCTGGCCTCTGCCGCGGAGACGATCGTCCCCAGCCCACGCATACTGCTAAGCCGGCCGTGCCGTCAGCAGCCGGACCGAGCGTCCGCTTGCCATCTCGTGCGTCGTCGTCGAAGCCTCCGCCTCGTTACAAGCAGGCCGTGCTCCGTTGGGCCGATCCTACAGATCCTGGACGTCCTCTCGCTGATGCCGGCGAGTCGGTAAACCACGTTACGCCCACGCCATCTAACTCTAAAAAACCGTCACTAACCACTCTGATTTACGAAGAGGCCCTTGAAACGTTCAAGTCGACGTGGTCGACCGACTACCCATGGCTCATCCTCATAAAAAACACTGCTGGCATGCCTGCGTTCAAGTGCAGATTGTGCATCGACTTTGCAGGTGACGGTGGCAAGTGTGGCAAGAGTGGGCACGGTGCAACCGATCTTCAGACCCAAGCCTTCAAGCGGCATGCCGCGACGAACAAGCACCAGTTGGCCATCAATCACCAGAAGCAGATGCTAGCTCAGGCTGGGAAGCAGCCGCGAATTGACGAGCATACGCTCGCCAAAGATGACGAGACGACCCGCGTCATCAGCCTTCTGAACTCCCTTCACTTCACCACCCAGAACCATCTGCCGATGGAGACGTGGGTGCGCCTCGTTCGCTACATGGCTCAGAACGAGGTCCGCGGCTTTCCCAAAAAGGGATACGGCACTTACTACACCACGTAAGTGCTTACGAGCGCATGCATTAAAAGCCTCTCCTGTTCACAACCACGTAAGCCTAACAAATATGTTCGGTGTCTATGCAGGTACGGCTTTGGGGAACTAACACAGGCAACGGCCGTGTGGCTGCAGACAACACAACTCGAACACGTCCTACAAAGCCACTACATCGGCCTCAGCTGTGACGAGTCTACGGACAGATGCCGTGGGAAGCATCTCATCATCTATGCCACATTCATCCGCGACGGGGCAGTAGTCACCGAGTTCTTTGCCCTCCTAACCGTGGACAGGGCAGACGCCGCATCGCTGGTGGCGTTGCTCTTATCCCATGTCAATGCCGTCGGCATTGACCTGCGCCGAATCACGGGCATCAGCACCGACGGGGCGAGCGTCATGGTCGGATCCAAAAACGGGCTGGTGGCGAGGCTGAGGACGCGCGTTCCGCATCTGGTGTCCTGCCACTGCATCGCTCACAGGTACGGTGGTTGATGCAGTGTCCGATGCGACTGGTATTTGTTATTTGAACATGGTGTCCTTCCTTCTACTTAACCAAATGCGTCTGTTTTTTGTTTTAATCGCAGGGAAGCACTCGCGGCCAAGGACGCGGCAGAGTCCCTACCGGAGTTTGGCATGGTCGACAGCTTCATCCGCTGGCTCTCCACCTACCTCGGCTCATCAGGACCCTGGCACCAGCGCTTCCTGGACCTTCAGGAAGTCTTCACTCAGACTAACCTGGAGCTCCAAGGAATCAATGATGTGCGTTGGCTCTCACGCGGCGATGCAGTCTGCCGACTTCTTGCAGTCCTTCCGGGGGTCATCGTGATGGTGCACGAGCTGGGAAACAAGCCCATATACCAGATGGTGTCCAGCTACAGATTCCAGTTCATGCTGCGCTTCCTCGCTGACGTGCTGGAACAGCTGAACGTGCTCAGCAAGACGTTCCAGCATCGACAGGTGAGATCCTGCTTTTGCCTGTGCATCCCTGTGTGCCGTGAGGACTGTGGGTTTAGGGCCGCTAGCTACGGCTAGTTCTGCTTCATGATTGAAACCTGGCTGTGCTTTCCCTACTGTTTTTGTGTGGCAGATTGACCTGCTGGCGATTCAAGGCCAGATCCGTCGCACGACAACCCACATCAACAGCCGTTATGTGGATTGTGGCGACGACTTCGGCGGCGGCCTGAGCGAGAAGCTGTCGCCCTTCATTGCACGACATGGACCGAATGGGGTGCGGAGAGTGGAGGTCGAGTGGGTTGACTCCGACGGCCGGCCCACTTCTCACTGCTACGTGCTGCATGATTCCCCCCTTGTAAGGCTACCCCATTGCAGGGACCCATGAGCGATGCGTGGAGCAGTGCACGGCGATGGCGGAGGCGCTCGTGCATAACCTGGATGAGCGATTGGGTTCACTCGACAAGCTGAGCGGTGTGAAGCTGTTCATGCCCGACGAGTGGCCCCATGGACGGCAGGAGCGTTCCATGGTCTGCACGGAGCACCTTGAGTCCCTCACGACGCTCTTCAGGGCCCAAGAGTGCGACGAGATCGTTCCAGGTACGTACTTCTCTTTGGTCTGTGCATCGTTGTTTGTGCTGCTTTGTTGTGTAGCACCTAAACACTGGCACCACTTGTCTGGTGAGCCTTGCTTACCTTGTTCTTTTCCTTGGGCTTGCGCACTCCCTGACTCCCTCCAGGTGTCAACAAGAAGAAGGCGTTCAAGGAGCTCCGCACGTTCTGCACGGTTCTCGCTGGAGCCCCGAAGTCCGAGAGAAAGTTCTACCCGGGTCTCTCGGCGATGCTGAAGTCTCCTGACTGGGAGGACGCGTACCCCAACCTGGTGAAGCTGTGGATGGCTGTCGCTGTGTTACCGTTGAGCACAGTCGAGTGCGAGCGGGGGTTCTCGCGTCAAAACATCATCAAGAGCTGGCTGAGGGGTGCCATCAAGGATGCGCGGCTGTCGGACCTCATGTGCATGGCATTGCTGCCGTACGAGCCCGACTGGGCGGAGGTGGTGAAGATCTGGAGGGCGTACAAGAAGCGCAAGCCCATCACAACAGTGGCAGCACCAAAGAAGCAACCTAGTGCTAAGGGGAAAGAGAAGGTGGACGAGGATGATGCTGGTGGTGCTGGCTCTGGGTGGGGGACAGAGACCCCCGTGCACAGGCACGGTTCTATGAGCGATGGTGGTGGTAGTGACGAAGATGAAGACATGTGTGTGATGTGAATTGTGTGTGCGGTGTGAGCGCCAAGTGGTCTGTGCCTGTAGTTAGATTAGAAGCTCATTAGAACCATATTTGAACTTTTCTTAACTTATTATACTTGTGATAGTTGTTGTGGATTCTCACCGCCAGTGTTTTTTTTTAACTCACGCTGATGTGTCAGGGTTTTTTTTTTTCTAACCCTGAGAAATCAGTGTTTCTCCATTTACAACCCTGATGATCAATGTTACAGCCCCAAAGGACCCTGAGCAGGGCCTCAGATTCGTTTTGGGTGACCCTGAGCACTCAGGGTCCTTTGGGGCTGTAACACTGATCATCAGGGTTGTAAATGGAGAAACACTGATTTCTCAGGGTTAGAAAAAAAAAAACCCTGACACATCAGCGTGAGTTAAAAAAAAACACTGGCGGTGAGAATCCACAACAACTATCACAAGTATAATAAGTTAAGAAAAGTTCAAATATGGTTCTAATGAGCTTCTAATCTAACTACAGGCACAGACCACTTGGCGCTCACACCGCACACACAATTCACATCACACACATGTCTTCATCTTCGTCACTACCACCACCATCGCTCATAGAACCGTGCCTGTGCACGGGGGTCTCTGTCCCCCACCCAGAGCCAGCACCACCAGCATCATCCTCGTCCACCTTCTCTTTCCCCTTAGCACTAGGTTGCTTCTTTGGTGCTGCCACTGTTGTGATGGGCTTGCGCTTCTTGTACGCCCTCCAGATCTTCACCACCTCCGCCCAGTCGGGCTCGTACGGCAGCAATGCCATGCACATGAGGTCCGACAGCCGCGCATCCTTGATGGCACCCCTCAGCCAGCTCTTGATGATGTTTTGACGCGAGAACCCCCGCTCGCACTCGACTGTGCTCAACGGTAACACAGCGACAGCCATCCACAGCTTCACCAGGTTGGGGTACGCGTCCTCCCAGTCAGGAGACTTCAGCATCGCCGAGAGACCCGGGTAGAACTTTCTCTCGGACTTCGGGGCTCCAGCGAGAACCGTGCAGAACGTGCGGAGCTCCTTGAACGCCTTCTTCTTGTTGACACCTGGAGGGAGTCAGGGAGTGCGCAAGCCCAAGGAAAAGAACAAGGTAAGCAAGGCTCACCAGACAAGTGGTGCCAGTGTTTAGGTGCTACACAACAAAGCAGCACAAACAACGATGCACAGACCAAAGAGAAGTACGTACCTGGAACGATCTCGTCGCACTCTTGGGCCCTGAAGAGCGTCGTGAGGGACTCAAGGTGCTCCGTGCAGACCATGGAACGCTCCTGCCGTCCATGGGGCCACTCGTCGGGCATGAACAGCTTCACACCGCTCAGCTTGTCGAGTGAACCCAATCGCTCATCCAGGTTATGCACGAGCGCCTCCGCCATCGCCGTGCACTGCTCCACGCATCGCTCATGGGTCCCTGCAATGGGGTAGCCTTACAAGGGGGGAATCATGCAGCACGTAGCAGTGAGAAGTGGGCCGGCCGTCGGAGTCAACCCACTCGACCTCCACTCTCCGCACCCCATTCGGTCCATGTCGTGCAATGAAGGGCGACAGCTTCTCGCTCAGGCCGCCGCCGAAGTCGTCGCCACAATCCACATAACGGCTGTTGATGTGGGTTGTCGTGCGACGGATCTGGCCTTGAATCGCCAGCAGGTCAATCTGCCACACAAAAACAGTAGGGAAAGCACAGCCAGGTTTCAATCATGAAGCAGAACTAGCCGTAGCTAGCGGCCCTAAACCCACAGTCCTCACGGCACACAGGGATGCACAGGCAAAAGCAGGATCTCACCTGTCGATGCTGGAACGTCTTGCTGAGCACGTTCAGCTGTTCCAGCACGTCAGCGAGGAAGCGCAGCATGAACTGGAATCTGTAGCTGGACACCATCTGGTATATGGGCTTGTTTCCCAGCTCGTGCACCATCACGATGACCCCCGGAAGGACTGCAAGAAGTCGGCAGACTGCATCGCCGCGTGAGAGCCAACGCACATCATTGATTCCTTGGAGCTCCAGGTTAGTCTGAGTGAAGACTTCCTGAAGGTCCAGGAAGCGCTGGTGCCAGGGTCCTGATGAGCCGAGGTAGGTGGAGAGCCAGCGGATGAAGCTGTCGACCATGCCAAACTCCGGTAGGGACTCTGCCGCGTCCTTGGCCGCGAGTGCTTCCCTGCGATTAAAACAAAAAACAGACGCATTTGGTTAAGTAGAAGGAAGGACACCATGTTCAAAGAACAAATACCAGTCGCATCGGACACTGCATCAACCACCGTACCTGTGAGCGATGCAGTGGCAGGACACCAGATGCGGAACGCGCGTCCTCAGCCTCGCCACCAGCCCGTTTTTGGATCCGACCATGACGCTCGCCCCGTCGGTGCTGATGCCCGTGATTCGGCGCAGGTCAATGCCGACGGCATTGACATGGGATAAGAGCAACGCCACCAGCGATGCGGCGTCTGCCCTGTCCACGGTTAGGAGGGCAAAGAACTCGGTGACTACTGCCCCGTCGCGGATGAATGTGGCATAGATGATGAGATGCTTCCCACGGCATCTGTCCGTAGACTCGTCACAGCTGAGGCCGATGTAGTGGCTTTGTAGGACGTGTTCGAGTTGTGTTGTCTGCAGCCACACGGCCGTTGCCTGTGTTAGTTCCCCAAAGCCGTACCTGCATAGACACCGAACATATTTGTTAGGCTTACGTGGTTGTGAACAGGAGAGGCTTTTAATGCATGCGCTCGTAAGCACTTACGTGGTGTAGTAAGTGCCGTATCCCTTTTTGGGAAAGCCGCGGACCTCGTTCTGAGCCATGTAGCGAACGAGGCGCACCCACGTCTCCATCGGCAGATGGTTCTGGGTGGTGAAGTGAAGGGAGTTCAGAAGGCTGATGACGCGGGTCGTCTCGTCATCTTTGGCGAGCGTATGCTCGTCAATTCGCGGCTGCTTCCCAGCCTGAGCTAGCATCTGCTTCTGGTGATTGATGGCCAACTGGTGCTTGTTCGTCGCGGCATGCCGCTTGAAGGCTTGGGTCTGAAGATCGGTTGCACCGTGCCCACTCTTGCCACACTTGCCACCGTCACCTGCAAAGTCGATGCACAATCTGCACTTGAACGCAGGCATGCCAGCAGTGTTTTTTATGAGGATGAGCCATGGGTAGTCGGTCGACCACGTCGACTTGAACGTTTCAAGGGCCTCTTCGTAAATCAGAGTGGTTAGTGACGGTTTTTTAGAGTTAGATGGCGTGGGCGTAACGTGGTTTACCGACTCGCCGGCATCAGCGAGAGGACGTCCAGGATCTGTAGGATCGGCCCAACGGAGCACGGCCTGCTTGTAACGAGGCGGAGGCTTCGACGACGACGCACGAGATGGCAAGCGGACGCTCGGTCCGGCTGCTGACGGCACGGCCGGCTTAGCAGTATGCGTGGGCTGGGGACGATCGTCTCCGCGGCAGAGGCCAGACGCTTCACCAGTGTTTGCTACTGAGGCGACGGGACCTGGCTTCTCTTTTTCATGGGAGAGCGCGGAAACTAGAAAATCTAGTCCCGTTCTGGCCTCCAGCATCTCGGTGGCGGCGTAAAGTGCATCGTCGTCATCATCACCGCAGCTGTTCTCACCGGTGATCGCCATGGCGCGTTCACGTCACCTTCCTGAATCGGTGAGTAGTAACGAGAAACCCTGGGAGAGAGATTGCAGAGATTGATGTTTCGGGAGGTGATGGAGTCTGGAGAGCTGGCTTCAGGGAGACTGCAGAGATTGATGTTTCGGAAAGGGATGGAGTCTGGAGAGCTGGAATGGCAGAATCACGAGACCCCCTGCGTGGGGTGCCTGAGCGGGCCGCCCCAGCACGCCCTGCCTTGGTGGAAAGAACAAGGCAGACCACTGGCCCACTGGGCCACTAGGCTTGGTTGTTTGTGCACATCAATGGAAAGTAATGACAAGTGTATGTTATCCAACGTGACAACGGTACATTGCTTCAGCTGGGACAGCCAATCTCTTTACGCGTTTTGCCAACACAGCCCGAAATTAACCCGTTCAACTGTATCTGGGCGCGCCGCAGGGTGGCGTCGGTGCAGGGTGGGTTCATGCATGATGACGGCGCGCAAAACTGCGAGAATCACGGAGTTTTCGGTTTCAGGGTCGTCTCCGATACAACACTGACTCGTCAGTGTCGACAAACTAGAAACACTGGAAAATCAGGATTAGGAAAAGAAAAACACTGATTCATCAGGGTTGTAAAAACAAAAAGGCTGATTCATCAGGGTTACAATAAAAAACCGGGGTCAAACATCAGGAAATCAGGGTAAAATTCCTGGAATCTGAGGCCCTGAGTGCAATGCAGGCTTCCTGTCCTGCTCATCTCAGTGACGAATATCGATCTGGGCTGGTCTTAACGGGGTGTGGAAATGGATTCTGTGTTGTTCTGTCTCCGCCTTCCATCGCCACACGTCGCACTCTCATTCTCTGCATTTTCTGTTATCCAACCTGCCCCTACGTCCTCCCTCCGGCCTCCCATCAGTTGGAACGGCCTCAGCCCATGGACGGGAGTGCCGTCAGTGCATGTGCATTTCTGAGGTGCCTCACAAGATGCACGTCTCCCTCTTCCCCCCCCCCCCCCCCCCCCCCCCCCCCCCCCCCCCCCCCCCCCCGCCTACCCACCAGCTGGAACGGCCCCAACCCAAGGGGTTGCCATCAGTGCATGTGCATTTTTCAAGTGCCTCACAAGATGCACGGTTTCCCTCTCCTCCCCCCGCCTACCCATCAGTTGGAACGGCCCCAACCCATGGGTGGGGGTGCCGCCAGTGCAAGTGGCCATGGCTGTTGATGCTGCTGAGGTGGCAGCCACAATCACCCGACTCCTGTCGTCTGTCGGATGATGCTACAAATGTACATGGCTATTGGTGATGCTATGTATGTCCATGACTAATGGTGATGCACGCGAATGGACAGACATGTTAATGCTGTGATGATGGCCACAGCATGGTCTGGGTGGCAGATGGGGAAAAGGGAGATGAA